TTGGGACTATTATGTTGTAGAGACTCTAGATTCTACTACATTCTTCTAAACAAGGTTGATTTTTTTTTTTTAAGGCATTTAACTTTATTAGACTCAAACTGCAAACTCTGTCCCACCTCTTATGGTGGCAGCTTTGATCTCAAATGAGACTGCTTTGAGCATGCCTTGCATGTATGCCTAGCAGTGTTAGCAGAACACACACAGAATTGGGGTTTTCCTTGCATTCTCCTTTCCAGGTACCTCTGTACTCTATGGTGGCCCTGGCCGTCCCTGAGTGCTTTGCCTCTTTACTCCATTCACAGAGATGGCAGAATTTTCATTGGCATTTTACCCAACTAGTGCCACCACTGTGACTGCAGCTGCTCTTAGGTCAAAGATGCAAAAACATTCAGGTGACCCCATGCAGGTCTAATTTCTTCTTCTAAGGTTTCGATTTCCCTGAAGATGCTCAGATAATTGGCCTGCTTTAAAAGTGTTTTTTCTAGGGTTCACATTTGTTTATCCTGGAAGATACATTTGTTGGGAAACAAACTTTATAGAAGTGGGAATTATGCACTGAGTTTAAAAATATATGTAAAGATACTATGGTCTCACTCTAAAAGAATTTTGGACTGTTTGAATGTGATATTTAAATATAACTCAATTTGTGTTGCAAAACACGTCTAGGATTGCTTAACTATACCTGATAGAGGCAAATGCTATGTCAAATGAGGTGTTTTCCTAATATAGCCATCCCTTTAATATTGGTTGATGTTCAAGTAATTTTATCAAAGATGTACATAGCTTAATAATCGAGAAAATTCTCAGCTTTATGTCAGATGCTTATTTGAAGTTACATTTAGCAATTTAAATGAATAATAAAATCCCATTTACTCAGTAGATAGATATTTAGAAACAACCACTATTTAGTATACAGTTAAAACTCCTAATCCCCAAAGAAATTTAAGAACAGAGAAAGGGGAAAAGGTGACAACTAGGAAAACTCTAGTTTTATCTAGTAAAGAAATTACTATTTACTGTTTGCTATGTTTTATTGTATAAAACAAACAAACATAAAGGAAATCTTTGAAAAGATAAAAAAAATATAGGAAAAGGTTGTATATTATAAAATAGTAAATAAAAGAAAGTTGATGAAGCAAGCCAGATTATTACGCTGGAGGAAATAAACATAAGAGTCTTCATTGACCCAAAAAGTATTCCAAAATACACATACACACCAAAGAGATGTAAAGAAGTTTAGCATTAAGAGAAAATATAAGTAACATATAGAGTTGAAGGGAAAAGAAATGTTGTCATGATTCATAGTTTATGTAATATTCTACATCAGCTCTCAGAAGGGTATATTTGCAGTCTTCTCCAACCAATAAGAGGGTTCAGAAAAAATATGAGCAACATGTAAAAATCAATATTCCTGCACCCAGCAGTGATCAATTTAAAGTGTAGAAATTTTAAAATGGTTCCATTATCATTTAAAATAATATCAGAACTCTAAGTTACTTAGAGAAATAATCAAACATGCACAGTAAGTGCATGCTTAAAAGTAATAAAATGTTGTGAGGAGATATTTTAGTATTTTAATTAAATATTATGAGAAAACATGAAAGAAATCCTGAATATGTGGAAAAATAAACAATCCTTATAGTTAGAAATGCCAATACAAGATTTGGATTATCTCCAAATTGATACATAAATTCGGGACAAGTTCGATCAAAATTTTACCAAGAGTTGTATTGAACTTTACAAATTGTTTCTAAAATACACACAGAAGAGTAAAGAATGAAAAAATACCCAAGATAATTTTGAGAGTGTAGTATCAGAGACTTTTCACTCACAGATTATCTGGTTACTAAATTATCATCAAAAAATGTGGTCTTGGTAATAGGGAACTTTATCAATGGAAGAATTTAGATGGCCCAGAAACAACATAAATACTCATATGGGAACTTGGTATATGACAGAAGTAGCAATGGAGATCAGCAAGAAAAGTAGGGATCGTTATAGGAATTTAGTTGTAAAAGATGGCTATTTATAAGGAAAAAATAAAATTGGAATTTTTTTATTCTAATTTAAACAAAAAATTGAAAGAATAAAGATTATATAAACACTCGTACACAGACACACAATATATTTTAGAAAAAAACACAAGGAAATTGTTTTATCATCTCAGGGTAGAACATGATTCCTTAATTAGAACACTGAACATTAAAGGCACAGATCCTAAACATATTTGATTACATAAAAAATAGGCCAGATGTGGTGGCTCTACTGAAAAATAGAAAGAAATTAGCTGGACACCTAAAAATATACAGAAAAAATTAGCCGGGTATGGTGGCGCATGCCTGTAGTCCCAGTTACTGGGCTTAAGGATTGCTTAAGCCCAGTAGTTTGAGGTTGTTGTGAGCCAGGGTGATGCCACAGCACTCTAGCCTGGGCAACAGAGCAAGACTCTGTCTCAAAAATAAATAAATAAATAAAATAAAGCCTGTTTAGTCTAAGTTTGTATTGATAAAAGAGTATGGTGGACAAATTGCAGAACATTCATTTGAATGGGAACTATATCAGTTCAAGTGAATGTACTTAGTTTATGCATACACCATAGATAGAACTGTAAAACACACTATTGGTTTAAATATTTGCAGACTGATATGAACATTTTCATGCTATTTATGTTGTTTCTAGTATAAGCCTAAAATGGCCTCAGAAGTGGCAAGGATTCACATCAAATTTAGGACAAGGTTGCCTTTGGGAATGACAGGAATGGGACTGAGGAGGGTTGATAATGGAGACCAGATATCTGAAATGTTTTATTTTTAGACAAATGAATAATAATCAGAAAAATGATGACAGCAAGCACATTAACAAGTCTTAATACTTGGAAGAGGGGTGCATAGGTATTTGTTAAATTAGTCTATGTATTTTTTTTCTTGTATTTCTTGAATGTTTAGTGATATATAAAAATATTATCTGGGACATAGAAAAAGAATGGACTAAAATTTTACATGGTGTCAATATAATTATAATGCTTAAATTTGTACAGAAGACAAAAAGCAAGCAAAAAATGCAACTCATGGGCATGTATGCAAAACACCTTCGAGTGTTAGCAAATAAAATACAACAGTACCCGAAAACACTGTTATAACTCAGTCAAGAGGGAGTTTCTCCGAGAAATACAAAGTTGCTTCGATATTATAAAATTAATAATACAATACCTCATATTGATGTTTTAACATGAGAGGGAAAAAAATCCCTTTTTTTTTTATCATTTCACAAGGTACTGAAAGCACAGTTAATCAGCCACCAACCATTCATGGTTTTAAAAAGAATAAAAATTAAACCCTTGTTGGAATTGATGGGTGTATTCTTGTTTTAAAAAATATTTTCATTAAGTTTAGAGCATATCCAAAAGAGTATTTATGAAATATTTAAAAGATATAAAGAATAATAAAATGGTCACCTTTATGTAAATTTTCTAGTGTTAAAATGGTTTGCATGTATGTATTCTTAACATGATATGATTTATATAGCTTAAATTATATAGCTTAAACTGAAAGCCAGCATTATGTTTAATGATAGAAAAATGGAGCATTAGAGCATTTTCATTAAAGCCAGGAGTTAGACCATAATATCTCCCTCAACAGCTTTATTTAACATTGTTTTGTAGAAGTAATGAGTTTAAGCAAGCAAAAAAACAAAGTTACAAATAATAGGAAAAAAAACCCAAGAGATTCCTTATTTCCAGATTACATGACTATTTTCTGAGAAACCCCAGAGGAATGAAATAAAAAACTGTTTGATAAAATAAAGAAAATTCAGTAAGGTTTTTAATTTAAAAAACGAATATATGCAAATTATTTGCTTTTATGTACAAATAATGATGTTTGAAAAATATAATGGAAGAAATGATTTCATTTACAATAGGAAACAACAAAAAAGATAAACAAGAAACATATGATAGCTACCATTCTTTTAGTGTTAGAAAAAGTTTTTAACAATAAAACAATATGGCTTTTGGAAAGGAAGTTTTAATATTTAAGATTCAATAATTTGCTTCTTTGGAGTTGATGTGTTACACCGGTGACTTTTTCAAACACAAGCTGACAAATTATCTTATTTCATCTTCTATACTACTGGTGAGTTTTAAAAGAAAGTAAGGCTCAAGTTTTGAAGTAATTTGCTCAAGATTTCACTTCTTCCTCATGTTATAATTATCAGGTGTTCTTATCCTATTCATCCTAATTAGTGTGTTACTTGGAGGTAGAGCCATGTCTTGTCTGCATTCATGTCTCTAACAACCATTGTGGTGTAGGCACCTGATTCAAACCTCAAACTCACTTGCCTGCATCTATGTAAGGAGTCACAAATTTCAGAGGTTGGTAGAAATTGGGCAGGTAAATGCATAACTTTTCTGATGTAGACACTATTAGCTGATCATTTTCTTGTGGCTATACAGCCTCAATATTGGTAGATTTTTAAGATTCTTAAAGAGAGTTTGGAAATCTGAAATTTTTATCTGAAATATTTGGATTTTTCAACATTGACAGCCAACTTAAAAAGTAATCACTCTCCACTTTAAAGAAACATCACTATTGGCACAGTTTGGCCTGTGGCCTGCCTCTCCACGACTTTGTATTTTTTCATACTGCTTTCCCTAAATTCTAATATGTTCAAATCCAGGAGCGCAAAAAAAAAAAAAAAAAAAAAAGTAACAGGGTCGATGGGGGTAATGGGGTTTCAAGATAGGAGGCTACTATATCTGTCTATTGCAGATTGCAACTGTCCAACTCATTCTATATTCTTCCTCATTCTGCTGCCAATTCTAAAATACAGTTGATCATTGTGTGTGTGTGTGTGTGTGTGTGTATGTACCTCTTTGAAACTGTTTCTAAGAGATCCTATAGAGTCCCAGATTTAACCTCTTTAAGTTAATGAGAAAGAATTTAAGATTGTCCCCCTGTTGTTTTATCAAGTAGTCATACGGTCCTTATTTGTCTTCAAATCAGGCATTTTTGGTCACCGTCTGGAATTTTGAACTATATATGATCCCCTTGGCATTGTTGCTGATCTTTGTCTACAATTTCATCAGACCCACAAAAGGCAAGGTCAGCATCGCCCAGGACAACCAGGTAAGCCGAGATCCAAAGAGTTCTGACGTTGGGCCTGAGAAAAATGAATCAGCAATAAACAACCACCACCAAATCATAGCCCAAGTGCATTTTGTTTGAGTTGTGAGGTGCAGCCCTACAACATATATCCATTTTGCAGTGAGGGTCTTTTATCAGGTGTCCTGAGTCCTTGCCTACAGTGTTGACATGAGGGGCCCCTCTGGGTCCTGGTCATGATTTCCATGCTGGTAGCACATCTCTATGTGCCCATCTCTTTCTCTGTAAGGTTCCAGTGAATAACTTTCTCAACCACTGCAGAAAAACCTCTGGTGGCCCTCTGAGCGTCTCCAGGGCACACAGAGCACTATGGCGCTGACTCAGGCCTTTCCACAAAGGCACCTCATGCAGCGCTGTCAATGGCCTGAAAGCTGCAAGAGGTGCTTGGAGGCTTGCTGACTTCCAGGGCAATCAGAAAATGGGTGTGCATTGACCCTCTGTTCTCAGTGCCCAAGTTTGTGTTGGATTTCTCAAATTCCCTGTTGTATTGAAGAAAGACAAAGAACCTTTCTCAAAGACATCCCTCACCCTCTCTTCTGTATCCTCCTCCTTTGACTATCCTGCCCCTGCCCCACCCCACTCCACCTCATAGGACTTTTTTTTCTGCCCCAGGTGTTCAGGAACTTACAGGCTGGCTTTTTGATGTAATCTTGGTGTTCCAGATTCAAGAACCAAGCTTTTAAGATAAAAATCTAAAGTTCCAAGACTTGATCATTCCCTTTCTAGAAAGATTACCCTCACATCAAGTTTCCCAAGATTCAATTGTCACCTACTTTTCTTTATGTCCTCGTTTTTTTAAAAAAATCATCTTGGAAATAAATTTAGGGGATATTTCTGGTTTCATTTAGGCTGGAAGGAAGGTGGGGAAAATGAGTGTCATGCTGGGAGGTAAAAATGTCAGGCAATTTCAGAATTCCATTCTGTTTGATTGTGATTATTTAATGCAATAGCCATAGATATATATCAGCAGGATAATAGAACCATCTAATAAATAAACGGGTTTAAAGTTGAAGTCAATGTAAGGACTAGGTTTCACAGAAGTATAGATAAGGTAGATTTTCAGAGAGAAACATCTCTAATAACAAATGCTGTCAACTTACAGTTTTATAATGTTTAATCAGATTTTATTTTGCCTGCTATGTATATAATGTGTTTATAGTATGTCTATCTGTGCATGTGTACATTATGTTGAACATGCACATATACTTGTGTAATGTGCACATATACTTGTATGTATATATATATAAACATGTATGTGTGTATATAGCCTTTTTAATTGACTAAACATTCAAATTCATCCCCTAATTTAATCTTGGTGACACAACTATGAAGGAGGCAAGAACTATTTTCATTTTATGCTTGGTGAAACTACAGCTCATAGTGGCAGGTGATTTGCCAAAACCACAATGCAAAAAAGTGCTGGAATCATGTTCCAAGCTGAAAACTTCAAATTCCCAATTACAGTGTTTTTTCTCCCATAACCTGTTTTCATTACACTTCTGTTTATCAGTTGGCTTTCATGAGACATGCTAGCTGCCAGTAGTGGATAGGTTAGTTCCCCAGAGGATTGATGAGTGTCACACAAACTGCCAGTTGAATCTCAGGAGAATTCTTGGAGGTAGGGCTGTACCAGCCCTGGAGAAATTTCTTGATGCGTGTTCAGTGCTTTTATGGAATATAACAGAGTACTCTCTGGATACTTCAGAGTTACTCCCTTTTAAGAGCATGATATTGACAATTCTTTTTACTATTGGAACAATGACATCTAAACAGCATGCCTGACATTTGCAAGGTTAAGCAGAAACCTAAGTGTTCAAGATGGAAATAGACCCTGTTGTCTAGTCTGAGCATTCTTTCCAAACTACCAAGCCTGCTCGATTGTGTACCAACATGAGTTCAGTTTTAAACATTGCAGTGCTGTGATTTAAACTTGCCTATTAAATAGCCAAGATTTTAAAACTAATCTGAACAAATCCATTAGCAGCACAGCTGGTGCTGTGGCATCTGAGCTAAAGCCAGTCACCCTCAAGTACAGACGGGAGCCTTGAGTTTCTTCCCCTTCCCTCACCTGCCCCTTCCAGCCCCAACCCAATCAAAATAAAAATACCACGTAGAAACCTTATTCTTAACTTATTCTTAAGATTGATTATATTTAGACTAATGCATTTTCTACTGTCTAATGTTTCAGTAATGGCCCCAAAGGGAGAGAGCAGTCATTATAACAATAAGCCTAGCACAAGCGGAGTATGGTATTCTCAGCCTTGACACAGCAGTTGGTTCATTTGTCAGAATGAGAACAGCACTGTTTACAGAAAGTACGATTTGGCAATGTCTTTTTAAAGCTGGATGCCTTCAAAGGGCACTGGCCTAATAGTTTTATTTATAGTTAACAGTTTTATGTAGATTATGCATATTGTTTATAGTCTTGCTACAGTGCCCCTGAACTTTAAACTGGTTGTTTTTTTTTTTTTCAAGAGGTTATAATGCATTAAAAAATACTAATGCTTAAATTCTATAGAAAATCTTAATGTGCATGAGTTTAATTTGCATGTGGTCATTTGGGTGGATGTTTTGTTAACACATTGTGGGTTTCCCTTTCAGGAGGGCACAGACATAGATGACGATGAGGATGAAGATGACAAGGTGAGTGTGCTCGAGAAAGAACATAAAAAGGAACATTAATGTTGTCAGCAGATAGCACTTTTCCCGGTTGAGTCTAACTCTCCTTTTTTTTTAAAAGCATTATATAATGGAGTGACCAGGATAGTAATATCGTTGTAATTTTTTTAAAAAAAACGATATGCCTTCTTAAGAATTTTTAAAATGAGTTTGAAAGGAGTAAAATAGAAGGAATAATTGAAATGTTATAAAAAGCATACCTGTATGAGGCCTTTCATTGGACGCAAGCCAAGATTAGCCTTCCCCTTTGTAGATAAAAGGTAGCCTAGGAAGTCAAAAGTAAATCAAGCGAAATTGCTGTTCCTTTAGGTTCATGTCTGCGCTCTGTGGGGTGGTCACCCACTTCTGCGCCTGTCACTTTCCCAGCTGTTGCTGGCAGCGTTTTCAGCTATATGTCTGTGTACATCTGTCCTTTTTCTTCTCCTGGGAGAATCTCTCAAATCTGCTGCTTTTGTTGTCATTATGCTTTCAGACAAACCTTCTGGAATAAAATGAAAGAAGTGAAGTGCCAAATGAGATGCTACTAGCTTAATGGACTTCCAGTCCCCAGTGCCTGTGGGTATAGGGGGCTAGTGACGGTAGCATGTAGGAGGCGTGTGGGAGAGGGAAGGGCAAAAGGGGGGGACCTTAAGAGTAAGTAGCCAATCTAAATGCCCATAGAATAGAAATTAATTAAAAAACACTGGCTCCATGACACAAAGAGCCTTAAAATTAATTGAGTAGACCAGATGGTTTTGCCCATTTGAAGCAAATCGGGTACATTACAAAGCACATCTTATTTGTTGTGCTAAGATGATTACTAATAGCAAAATAATGAAAAAAAGTATAATATTTTTAAAAATGGAATTGACCTTTTTATGACAGTTCCAACTTTCTTCTTGATGAATTGATGTTAATAGTTTCTGAGTGATAGTCACTGAATATGAATAGTCCTAGGCAAGCTAAAGTGTATGATGGGATGTTTTACCAAAGAAAATCACAAGTATTAACGGTATTATTTTAAACCTGTCTCTAGTGACAACTGCAAGTTTGGGGCTCCTATCCTTTTGACTGGCCAGCTGTAAATTGGGGGTTCCCACGAGCCCCTCCTTGGGTAAGGTAATTTCCTAGACTGGCTCACAAAACTCAGGGAAACATCTACTTACATTTACTGGTTTATTATAAAGGACACGACTCAGGAACAGCCAAGTGGAAGAGACACAAAGCACAAGGCATGCGGAAAGGGGAGTGGATCTTCCACACCCTCTCTAGACATACCATCCTCCCAGCACCTCTATGTATTCACCAATCCAGAAGCTTCTTTCTATGGAGGCTTCATTACATAGGCCTGATTGATGAAATCACTGGGCATTGGTCTATCTCTAGCCCCTTTCTCCTCCCTGGAGGTGTGGATGGGGTTGAAAGTTCCAACTCTCTAATCACATGGTTGGTTCCCCTGACAACCAGCACCTCATCCTTAGGGGCTTTTCAAAAGTCACCTCATTAACATTACCTCAGGTGTGTTTGAAAGGAGCTTGTTATGAATAGCAACAGATGTTTCTCTCACCTTTCCAAGTCTGGAGCTAATTTTAGGAGCTCTGTGCCAGGAACCAAGGACAAAGTCCAAATGTACATTTCTTATTATATCCCACTAGGCAAAATTCTAAATATTCACAAACCAAGGCTTAGACAGAAGGAATATTCTTTCTGTTTGGCCACACCTGTTTAAATGAGCCACTAGTGGAAGAAGACACCCTCCATCCTTTAAAGAGAATTGTGACTGCATGTATCTTTGGCCTGTCTAATAAAGGAGAGCATCCACCAATAAGACAGCAAATGAAAAGGTGGTATTTAGTAACTGGCAGATAACAAAATGAGGCTATGAAGTCTAGACCAGTGGTTGTCAAGGTCTAGTCTACCACTGACGTACCTCTAGAGCTGCCTAAGGGTCTGGAGATAGAGCCATCTGGGCTGTGCTTCAAGCCTTTCTGGGCAAACACAACTGAGAGAAGAGTTGGATGGGAGCGTCTACAGGGACAAGCCTGGGAGCTGTCACATTCATTCAGGGACAGTCCTACACACAACCCTGTGTCAACCTGTCCCATGATGAGCGAGTTGGCACTAAGCCCCTCCTCCTTCCTGCCATGGCAAATTCATTCTTGACATGTTTTTATTTAAGTATTTCAATAGGGCCTTTTAATAGTCACAGCATAACCATGATTGTTTTGCTTCCTCAATTTTATATATCTATGACATTTTTCATAGGAATAAGTATAAAATGGAATTTTGACTTCTATGTATGCCACCTTCTGCTTAACACAGCCCCTCTATTGTTAGGGGAGACTGGCAAATGTTTCCGTTCTTGTCTCCTTTTGCTTTCTCCTCTCCAAGAGATTTTAAACTAAAGGAACTTTCAACTTTAGGGCTTCTCGAGTGTGTATCCACATCATGAATTACCATATACAAAGCATCGTTTCTTCCCCATGTACAGCAGCCTCCACCACTGGGACGTGCTCCTCATGGACTTGGACACGCAGTCACTGGGTGACTGCCCACCATCGTGTGCTGTATAAAAATGTCTTACCCACTGAGCCCTTCTGGCTTCTGTTGCATGTTAGACATGACAGACCATGCTTCTGGGAACTGTAACACACCCAGTGAGAGATGAACTGTTTATAAACACACAGCCGCTTCGTTCAAAACCAGAAGAGGAGAGAAACTCCTTTCGACCCAAACTATCCATCTTGAAAGTGACACTCTTTAATTGCTAGTGTCCCATCCCACCAAATACCATCACGGAAGACTGTGGATGAAGATGAAAGCGTGCCGGGGCCCGTTGGCACAACTTCTCAGGAGATGAATGCGTTCCCATATTCTGCCTGTCTCTGATGCACAGACCAGGACACAGTCTGGTGTCTATCATACTTTTATCATCTGGAACAGGGATTTTTGTAAAATTACATCACTGTAGCAGCCTCTTGCTCCTTCTCATTGTGAAACATACATGGTGGAAACCTGTGTTAGAAACCAGATTAGATTCCACAATTTTGCCGCCTTTTGTGGACTCTCGGTGATAACAGAGAACTTGCAAGTAACTAGCTTTGTGGCTTTTAGGAAATGAAATGTCCAGGCTAAATTTTGAAAAGAGGAAATCCCTTTCTCTAATACCTGATGGACCATGTAAGAAATTGCTTGTTACAAGTATAGTTTTCTAGGGACTCCAGAACAAACAGATAATGGCTAGGTTCAGCCAACAGCAATCAGTTGACATTTCCTATTTGTATTAGATTCCATATGTGGAATCCTTCCGTGTGGACCTTATTTGTATGGATGGATTACAATGAAAATTGCATTAATTTTCTACACAGTAAAGGTCAGTAATTGAAGCATGAACCAAGAAACTATTGTGTAAAATGCTGTATCCCATACTTAGGAAAGGTCATGCAAGACAATAATATCTTGTTTTCATTGCTGAAGGTATAAATACTTGCATTAGAGTTTCTTTCTTTTTCCAGCCCAACAATCACTTACATAGACTATTTCAGCATTTACTATTAACATCAGGAAGAAGAAATCATAAGGGCATGTAATAAAAGGGGAAAAAAACCCCTCTTTATTGCTATCCAAAAGAAACTGTACTCTGATGCCTGCTTTGTGGGTTGGTTTATTTATAACAAGGCTGTCAGAAATAGGACTGGAATGATCTGTTCTTTTAGGATCATCAATGAGGTCACAATTGACTGACAGTATTTATGAAAAATGAAAATCACTCTTTTATATCAGTTATAGATGAGAGACAGATACAGGCATTTTTATTTAAGAAAAGAGGAAATATCTATTACATTTTTGTTAGTTGAGGAATGTTTTATAATGGAAGGATGCAAATGGATATTTTATCTATATTGTCACAAATTAAGATGTCATCATTAAAATTTAAGTACATATTAAATCCTCAATTTCAGTGTTTAAAATGGTTTTCCATCCTTCAATTTGATTAGTCCCTTTGTTATTACCCAGGCATGGCCTTTATAGTGTTAGAAGCACACATTTAGAAGTCCTCTCTGTGAATTAACCTGAACAGTCCTTTGTATGCCATGGCTAAGTCCATCACGTTCATTCTCTGTTTCTTTATGCCAGAGAGAGAGAGAAGATGATCTGTAGTTTTCTAGATAGGGAAGTCTTTTAATGGAGGAGTCTTCTTGCAGTCCAATCGTGAGAGTGGTTTTGCTTATGATTCCTTTGTGCCAAAACACTGTAAATTGATGTGATTAGTGATTTTTTTCTAACTCTTGCATAAGTAGTGGTATTTACTGATGATAAAGTATGATAGTTTTAAGAAAATTAAAACCCAGAGAGTGTCTGAATGATCCACAATAGTTGTGAGTACACCCACATACTTTCAGGGATATATAACTTATACATAGGCATATTGTAGAAGACCTGCTTATGGATAATTTTCAGGGGAAAACATAAATGGTAATTTTGATTTAAGTCATTTTAATTTGATTTAATATTTTTATAGTGATGAAGTGATTTAATTGCTAACATTTCCATCATACTATCTTACTTTCAAGCCTTTAGTAGTGAAGTGGATTTTAGCCAATTCTTAATTATCAGTTTTGTATGAGAAGGGAGTGCCTTCCCGATTTTCTATAGTTCTTTGACATATCCACTTGCTCGAATTCCCTTTTAGAAAATCAAACCTCCATTCTTAGAAATGTCTGACTTAATAGACTTTAGAAGTAATCCAGAAATATTGTTAACATGGCCTTTTGGAACATTATTCAGAGTGTCCTACTTACTATCAGACTGATATTCTTAGTAGTTGTAGATCTCTGCAATTTCCGCTGTAAGGGTGTACTTGGTTTGTTACTACCAAATATTGTGAACTATATACTGGACTATAAATTGGATGACTTATCTTTCTCTCAGGTAACATTTACTATCTGACAGAATACCCTCAGAGGCTCTGATATTTTAGTCTG